TTTAAAATCAAGTTTTACAAATTTTAATGCATTATCTTCAAGCAAATAAGTTATTGCAAGCATAAAACAATGCGTGTAAGGAATTTTACTTAAGATTATGGGTTAAATTCCTGTCACTATACGCATTATTGTTTTTAGTGTCATCATGATGTCGAAGTCGTACACTAAGTACATGTAATTAGCTACTAATTTCTCTTTAAATGTGCGTTTACAGAAGTACTTTTTAGTAACGAATTCAGAAAAAGGGGCCATATTTAAAGGAATGACATATGCCGTTGACGTTACCTGTGTTGGCGCTTATGCTACCTACCGTAAACGACTGCAGCTCATGCAGATTTCAGAGCACACAACATATTCTACTAACTAATGAAAAAATTAAGAATATAGAGATGAGAACGCCCTCTTTCTAAAATTAGAAATGTGGCCTTTGATATGTATGAGTTGATTATTCAATCATTGCAGGCGTTCATGATATCAATTGTTCTAATAAAAAAGCTAATTTTAGCATAAAACTTATCGATACTTCGTGTATACTGCGGAGAGTCAAAATGATCGATCTATAAAAACGCTTAATGCTTGTCTAATCAAGCGTGGATTTTTGATAGCGTTAGGTTCGATAGCGATGTGGTAATGTTTAAATATGTTAACATGTAAAGTGCAAGTAAGGCAAAATAGAATAGTGGGTGAAGCACGAATACGTAAGGTTGAATAAATGAGTTCAAGCAAATAAGATGAACAAATCATAACAAGCAATGCCGAACAACTTTTGATGTCTAAGAATTCCCTCGCTAGTTGCTGTGTCTTTGCTGATTCAAATGACACCGATAAGTTATAAGATACCGACTGTAGTTATCTTAGAATATGCATTACGGCTGATCAAATTGAAAATTGAACAAAATGAGACAATGAGGACTGTTGCATGCCTCAAATGTACGCTCACGATCGGCAGTTTCTATGGCCAAGGGCCGGCAATTATGAAGTTGGTACTATGAAGCTACACATTATAATAGCGAAGAAGCTAGACCCAGGAATAAAGGATATGAACGAGTGAGTAAAAAAAGATTATATATTGCGAATCGCTAGATAAGTGAGAGGCAATAATCACTGGTGATTTTGCCAGAAGACAGATGCGCATTGGCTCTCCGTGAATTCCTACAGAAGTTTGAGTTTTATATTATTACGGACTTCGAAACGCTGAAGTTTAGTTATGGATTTCAATAGTTTACCTCGAGAAACCGGACTGCAGGATTAATAACAATCTGCTGCACTCAGAAGCCACATTCCCCATTCGAAAAAACGACATTGATCACACGCTTTGTAGCAGAAAATCAATCTAAATAAATTCCTCCAATACTGCTTTTAGAAGAAGCAAGCAAGAATGCTTTACGTATAGTTCCGACACTCTCGACCTAGCTGTCCAGTTGATACCGAGGTGCTACAGATTACCTTTCAAGTTATCTTTGGTATCGAAAACGCTGTTCCGGTATACACATTTCACTAGACATCGGTCTGGTTTGCCAAAAACATTGAATAAATTGCTAGTCTTGAAAGAGAATTCACTGTTCAAATTACGCATCTCTTAGCCATCCACACAGGAAATATGCGGCCACGAAGGGATTCATAATAGACAAGGCGTCTTGACTTGCTTGTAGTTGAACAACCCTGTTTAACACGACCCTGTCTAGTGTAAAAGAAGGAATTCTGAGGCATAGAGTAAGTCTTTAACCGTAGTCATCCTGGAAGATAAAAGCAACGCGTGGGGAATCATGGAAAAGCATTGCCAAGACAAACTGTGTCTATGATTTTCGATCCAGGTTGTTGGTACAACGACCACTTGAAATGCAGCAACGCGTTACTAGAAGAAAAGCATAAATTCTCAGACAGACCAATCTCAACAATATGTGCAGTACCGTTGAGGATGGTAAAGGGCACCTTGATCAATTTTTTTACTCGATATTCAATGATTTTAAAATTGCGTTCGATTCCGAATCGAGAATTATCGCCTCACATAAGATCGCTGAGCTGTGTATGCTGTCGCTGTTATTAAGCTTTATAAGACGTGCTCCAAAAAAAACGACGATCGACAACAAAATAACAAAGAGATTATATTTAGCAGACGACCGTTTCTACGAACTGAGGTAACCTTGATCCGCTGTTGTACCCACTTGTAATACATAACCCGTTGCCGCGCAGAAAACAACAGTATACAAAACGTTAATTTAATCTTGTTTTTGTATAAAGACTAGATTAATGTTTTTCTCTTTTAAAATTAATAACTAGATGATGGTTGTCAGTCACAGTAGGTATTACATCTTTTCATAAGCATATATATGTTCTAATTATGCGGGAAGTACTAAATAAAATGAAATAAATCAGCAACATTTCTTGGCGTTTCGGCGAGACATGCTTTGACTTTAATTCAGTGTTTAAACAAGTTACCTATTCCAATTTTCTCAAAATGTTTGCTCACTTCAGCGTCGGTGAGCGATTAGTGAAATAAATTCAGAGCTTCTCAACAATGTACTTTCCGCACTAGAAACAACTGGAAGTTTTGATTACGTCAGAAGCACCACGGGTGCAACTCTGAGGCCTCCTATACATGTTGTGTATAAAAACGTAATAATGGACATTTAACTCTCATCTGTACTTGCACAAATACATGCAGATGACGTAAAAATATGCGCAAGAAACAACAAAGACGATGGTCGCATACTGTTGCAAGATACTCTCGACTAGTTTCTAGAGTGGATCGAAAGATTAAAGTTATTCTCGCGAAAAATGTGTTATTCTACACTTTGCACACAAAAGTCCCAATTAGGTGCGTTCCGTTGAGAGACTCAACTTATGAACAGCCAGAACTATCCACAACCTAGGTGTTAGCACGGCAATGACGCTAAAAATACTCAGAACATGTAACATATATAGTTCTGTGAGGAATGCGCCGTTTTAACTGGATTAATAATTTGTTTTAAAGTAATTGACTTTGTATAACAAATTCAGATATATAACTAATCAAAATACACGTTGAGCCGCTCAAGGCATACGTACCATTTGTGTGGTATACCTGTCGAGGAAAAGGTACTGAAAATCTTGAAGGAGGCATACGTACCACGGGCTGGCTTCAACTACCAATATGAGGAAAGTAATTACAAATTCTATGGATTTCTATTAGTTAAAAGGCCATTAATAGGCTTTCTAATGTGTCAACAAGCATCTTTCAAGTCTAAAGTCAACAATGTAATAAAATAATATAGACAATCACTAAATCTCCAACACTATTTAGTTAAAATTTATCACCAGAAAACGGCATGCAAATTATCTACGCTCATGGCGAATTTGCTATGCACTACGTAAGTAATCATAATTTGTAAAAATAGCGTGATAGCTATACGTACGCGCGCCATTGCAGCATATTTTTAAATAAAGCATATTATTATTACTAAATTAATATTTGAGTACATTATGGTCGATCACGTTGTACGTTATCTGTTTTAAAAAGGCTAAAGTACCAGAATAGTTTTACTTGGAATAGGTATGTGTCTTCACAGCTGATACATATGACCTAAAATCACGTATCGTATCCAAATCGAAAGCAAAAAAATTAATTGCATATACTTTATTTTTTTTTACAATGGATTTAGCAAAATCCCTTATTCTATTCATATTTTGTAGTTGTGTTGTTTATGCCTCTCTTGTTTATTCTCGACCTATTAACCTTTTGGCTATTTATGGCTATAAGCTAATTAGGTGACATCAGAGAATAAAGAATTTAAAGACAAAGGCATTGATGTTTTCGATGTTTTTACATAAAAGGTTTCTCGATGTAAAAGTTGTAATCTTAATTACTTTGACGAAGTACTACACTTCTTCAAACGCGTTCGTGGACGAGACTCCGAGTGAGTTTAGATAAGCAGCACTATCACTAGCTTTTGTGAGCTCCTTCTGTAATGTCTGTTAAAATTGAAGTAATCTTAGAACGAGAAAAATGAAACGTCAACATACGTTATTAGCTCTCATAAATTCGAAGTCGGGCGTGCTTTTATTCATTACTTACATTTTTTGAACTGTCTACTCTTTATGCTCACACTACCTGCATTGTAGGCCGCTTTTAATGGTACGAAGTGGACAGTTTCCAACTTTTATTGTAAAACTAAATATTATTAGGCCAATTAAGCCACATTATCAACTAAGTTCTAAAATTAGTATCTCCATATATTATTCAGTGGTTGTTGAAAACGACAAAACCGGAACATGTCCATTTTGTTAACCCTTTCTCATGCTGCATGGGGTGTTAACAAGCATAATCAACGGCAAAGCATAATTCTAGAAGTGATAGGAAACAAAAGTTTGATTTCCCGGCTGTTCAATGTTTAATGTTCGAAACATTGTTTATTTGTCGGATCTGATATATCTGCGCACAAATGTTTCTAAAGAAGTGACAGATGACGCAGCTAGATATGTTAACCAAGGTAGCAATTGATAAGCTTTCTGATCGCTAGCTAAAATGTAGATACAACAAACAATGGGCCTACGTTATAAAAAAATATTTGAAATTAGTTTGTCCTAATAACTATCGAGTTTTAGGGCTTTAAGAATTATAAAATGATTTTAATGCAACAGTGCGGAATCAACTTTAAAGTCAGGGCTAATTTTGCTTCTATATCTTCCTACATAAGTAACACATTTGACCTATATTCTTTTAATTGCAACAATCATGTGTTTTCTTAAATTAAATGTACAAAATGTATAATAGTCTATTGCATATTTTTCCCCGGTACTCATATATTAATCTTATAATATTCAGATAAGGTTGATACAACCAACTTCTAACAAGTTAGACCTGTAGCTTTTGAACGTTGTATCACACAAATCAAGTATATTTTCTGAATTAAAAGCCTGAGAAAGAAAAAGTGTAGCTTAAAATGTTTTTAAGCTATAGTTAAGTTCGGGATGTACTTTACTAATTAGTTTATATTACAACTTCCTTTAGATTAAATATGCATATTCAGAAACTAAAACAGTCCTCCTTCCGTTCTACAGTTACTGTACAGATAGCGACAGAACAAAACATTCGCTGGAAGTCAATAGTTTTCAGTTGATGTAGTTACCAAGGAAAAAGAAGTTCCAATGAAAAAAAACCGTATTTCACAGGAAATGTATTTCTACCTTAAAAAAGTAACGAGAGCATATCGGTGGCTTTTACTCTAAGTGAAAACCTATTGTTAGACTAGGAAAGCAAATTCTTGTATTGGTACCAGGAAATTGCCCCTCAAACCGTATATATACCGATACTTACAGATCGTATCGCACTGAAAATAGTCTGCGACTTGGATGCTACTTTTTTTAGTTGGGTTTTGTATACCTATTAGCGAGTGTTTCAATCAATATTTTAGAGAAAATGCCTTTATTTTTTTAGTTTGCCGTTTGACTCACTAATATAATGTACGGCCTACGCAGCTTTGTTTATCGATTTTTAAGAATTGTAATAAATATCACTTGGCATGATCGTAAGTATTGTTTCCATCATTTTCTTTGTCATCTATAATACTGTCATTATACTGTAGTAATAATAATTAATATTATTTGTAGCCTGGATGCTTCCTTTTGTTATTTTTTCTGCGCAAGAACGTGATTCATTTCCAACGCTTTGTTATTGTTGTTATCATGATCACACTATCTATTTACAAGTCCAGCAGTCCACTTGATTTATTTGTATATATTTCTACGTACCTGTTTGATCAAGCATCAATTAACCGCTTTCACCAGATGGATGTGGTAGCACATGTGTGTCCACGCTATAAATCATACACTAACTATGTCTATTGTTATTACTTTTAAACCTCGCTGGCTTTTTGGGTCGCCTAAAGACGGTTGCGGTCTTTCATTTGAGATTCATTAATTATGAGGTCTGAATAGATTCGTATCTTTGGTGTGTGTACACTCAAGTGTATATAGTCAGACCTTTTACTAGTATTTACATAATAAGACCCTAAAGACCTTTAAGACGGGGTTGATAACTCTATTTACCACCGTTGCCTCAAGGACTTGTCTGAGTAGGGGCTCAATACAAGCATGAAATGCCTTCTATGGAACCAATAATAAAAGTACATAGAAACATATATCTAATATTGCATCAACTAATTTTGAAGCAAGGCATCTCGTAAAATAATCTAGTTTAAAAGAATCTATAATATGCTCAATAGATTGACAAGAAATAAATAAATTAACGAGATGTAATTAAACGTTGGATTTGGAATAAGTACTTAAATATCTTGTACAATATTATTGCCTAAACATGTATTTTGGTGCCCCGACTCAAGTGCGATTTGGAAAGTGCTGTACACAAAGTAATCGAGCGAGAACGAATAAGTTGTTAATACCACATAATCGGGAATGCAGAGCAGCTTAATCAACATACTTTACCAGACAAAGATGTTTGCCATTCACTTGATACCGTTGGCTTAGTGTATGTTTACAGTACAGCTCCTTTCGACAGGTTGGATGGAAGGTTTATACGAATATTTTTTTTTCAAGTTTTAAGCCCGCATATCATTTTAGACAGGAGCTTTATTTCAAGCTTTTAGAGTCACCATACTTTCCGGTCGCTCTGATGAAGGATTGACATATCTAGTTAGCTTAGTCTCAAAATAGAAGGATATTTTGTAATACATATTTTTGCATATTACATGTTTTTCGCGGGTCAACGATGGTGATGTTGCGAAGTAAAATCGCCGTTGTTCGTTGGATGAAAATGGCTATGCGGCTGTGTGTGTTGTGTTTGCTGCTGCTGCTGCTGTTGCTGCTGCTGGTCCCCTGATGTTGATATATGACTGTGACTATGGCTGTTATTATTTTGGTGATGGCTCAAATGGGTCTGATCGCTATGGTTAAATACTTGCGAGTCGTCAGTTGGCTCGTGGGCCACTCCGTCCCCAGGATACTCTGCAGCCTGCGCCACTTGAACATATCCAACTGAAGATTGCGAATCATAAAAGTCTCTGTATTCGCCAGAAACCACGCGCTGCATTAATCTGTACTCTGCTACTTCTAAGTTTTGTGGGCCCTGGGCGATCGTAGGGGATCCCCGGCGCGGGGAACCATATACAGGATACACCGTTCCTAATGGCTGGTAGCCAACATTACTGTCACATGACGACTGCGTCGTTGAATCGGAGTTGCTACTGCAATTCAAAATCGGTGATCTACTAGCATCTCTCATACAAGTTTCAGATCTTATATTTTTTTGAGGGGTCAACCGGCTCAGAATATTCAGGTTTGCTTATATTTTGCATAGGCTGTGATGTATTATAAGCAAAATACTTGCTGCTGTAATATCTAAGACTTTATACTTTTGGCTTGACTGTAGATTGTAACCTTAAACTGCTTACCTGTATGGTCTTGGCTGTTGTTGAAGATTTCCTTGAAGTTGTGAAGGTTGCGTATGTCCTGAAACTGCGTATAACTGATCACCTACTGGCACCAGTGACGGCTGTAGCACTGAATGCTGCGTGTCTGGATAGAATTGTGGATGATTGTAGTACGGTGGAAGGCAATCTAAGGGATTGCTAGCATTAGCTGGAAGTGCAGGGAAGCTGGGCGATGGATACTTGCTCGAAGGTAGATAGTTATAACAACTCCCTGGCGGGGGATTGTTATTATTGTTAGTGATGTTCCAGTTACGATCTACTAGTTGCTCTGTAGAGTAGTACCAGGGATTCTGTCCTGACGGATCAAATGGCGTTGGGGATACTCTTGAGCTGGCGACGTCGTGTTGAGCAGGTGCTGTTCAGGAAATATAGTGAGACGCGTAATCTGTTATACCCCGCGTTATATTAAATGAAAAAATATTAGCAGTGTCTATCTTTATTCCATAATTCCATAATGCACTTAAGTATGAGTATAAGACTAACTTTACGAAAATCAGGCAGATACACTTATAAGCTTTTCAAAAAAAATCTAAAGATTCTCCTGAATTCATATCTTACATTGATGATTTTTTAGATGCAGCATCTAAATAGATCTCATAGTAATGTAAAAATCATTATCGTTTAAACCATCTGCGTTTCAATAATCTAAAAATGCAATTTTGAGGTGTTTAATGGGCCTAGTTGGCCTGGCTTATGCAGGAATCCCAATCTACGTAAAAAATGCAAAATACAAAAATAATTCAACTTTCACTTCTAACGTACTTTCATTTATATAGTGAAAAATGTTCACCAACAGGCCAAATTGGCATGACAGTTTAGTAAGTTTAAACCAATAGAAATATTTACAACTCGGTTTCGATCCACCGTATACCTAACGAACCTAATAGTGATCTAAATTATTTATCTTCCGTAGGCATTTGCAGCCTAATAATTAGTTCCCGAGTGTTTGTTTCCATGATTGGTTTTACTATTTATACTATTATCATTATTAGAAACTTAGCGAGCTTTATAGATGTCAAGTATCCAAAATCTATGATCTGTTGTCATTCCTGACTATTTAGAGACATGAAATAATTATAAATTATTAACGCTTACCAGGTGACACAGTATATTCGCTAGGCAGGACGGCCATAATGTTATTATTATTGTTATTGTGTGAGGATGCTGCCTCGTCGTCTACTGGTTCATCGAAGTTCGGTGAGACTGCGCGCCGTTTTCGTTTTCTGCCAGTCAGTCCTCCACCTGCGCCCCCGCCTGATCGCGTTGAATCTGATCGATTTCCAACTGAAGCTCCGCCTACACCAGACCCTGACCCTGACCTAGGTGTACTAGGACTGCACGGAGTGTAGTCCTCGTATGAGTTGCCATTTAGGTTTCCCGAACTTAAAGCTCCACCTGACTGAATCGGAGCGCCATGTTGTTGGCTGTTATCATCCTTTGTTCGTGAGCACTGATGAATTTCCATCTGAGTTAAGACAGAGTGTAGTCGATTACTACGAGTGAATTAATAAAATCACGATGGCTGGCGTCTTATATCAGCATAGTATAGCATATTGGACTGAAGCTGTTTATTAATATGCTTTATGTGAAAGTTAATCTGTTTTATGCTATAATGTATTTTTGCCGATCTAAGATATTACGGAAATGGTTACCTGCACTCCTCGTTCATAGACGTCAGTAAGAACGTAGTTGACGCTAACAACACAATGCGGTCGGGATGATCTACTATTGTGTACAATTGTGGCATAGCTTTGTACCCAAACAAAGCCGCCGCTTTTACATAGCAACCTGTAATACTTTGTTGTCACCTGGCCCTTCAGTAGTACTACAAATACAAACGGCACAACAATTATATCAACAACGTTTCTCCTCTAGTTCAAAGACGTGGCAAACAAAGGCTGCAAAGCACAGGACATGCATTTACATGAAAGAGTTCTACTTCAATAAACAGTAGTTTACTTATTATATATGGAATGTATATAAATAAAATGCATAAACAGTATTTACTCATTCAGTTGTTTCACAAACTTTGTCTTAATAATAAGGAAGTCTGTGAAGAAAAGAAACAAATATAGTTCTGCGTTAAACAATTATTACTAACTACTGTTTCGTAAGCATTATAAACCGCTAAATATGGTTATTCAAAAAACGCAATGAAACCTTAAACATTGCTCTTAGAGTGTGTCAAAGTATTCCCTACAGAAAAGTTGTTGATTTGGAAATTCGCTCAACTGCGTGTTATACCTGTACTTCATTTGTCTATTCCAGTATTGTGCATACGCAACACAAGTCGCAGTAAAAAAATGTCTAAGACTCGTCTTCAACTATCTAAGGCTAACAATAGTCTGAGAGAGTTAATGACGTGACTATTTGTCGAGGACAGATCATTGCGTCCGGCGCACCATCATTCGGCGAGCTGAGGTAGGCATCAACTAGGTACGAAATCGGTAACGTCTATTTTCCTAGTGAGACACGGGGTTTGTAGTGATAGAAGTAATCAAAACAAAACAATAATTGTGTCAAACATTGTTAAAGTATTTTCAAGAGGAAACGAAATGCTTTACAAAGTTTTCCCTGTGCAGAATGCTTCTGTTATATTGAAGGCGTTACGGCGGACGTTGGCCTTTTATCTTTTAGACGGATGTGGTATATTTCACAAAGCTGCTGTGTTTTGCAACTGTCGAACAAAAAATTAATTCAACACTTTTAAAACAGAGTCATACCTTTATGGGAAAAAAATTTTCGTTTTGTGTGAAATCGTACGCTTCAACCACTTTTTTTTAGCTCCTATATTTAGCTAAAGATCGATAATGATATATAGATCGCCGGCTACGATAGCTTGTCCTCTGGTTCCAAACATTCGCTCGGCGGTTTTCAAACATTTATGTGTTTCCTTTAGTAACTACTGCAATCCTTATACCACTTTTTTTTGCATTTTGATGCCATGCTTGCAAGCCTTTCGTTTTGCGCTTGATCCTTCGTAAGAATTTAAAGTGGTCCATTTCTTTTCTGGCAGTTAGCTTCTACTGGCAGTCTGCATTATACAAGGTCAAGACATAGAATATGCGTGTAGTACGCAACCTGGCTATATATATGTTTGTATCATGCATATAGATCGTAGCAATTAGTGTAATTATGTTGATAACCATGATGATATTTTGCTTAGTGAGAACTAAGATTGAAATTTTAGCCCGTTATATACGTTTGATATGCCTCAAAATCAATATATTTTTTTAATTTCACTGTTAGTCCTTAGCATACATACATAATAAATATAGTAGCCAATATAGTAGTTTTATATACGTTTACATCATTTCTGGTTTTTATTATTTGCAGATTTTCGAATGTAACTTATAAGAAAAATGAACTTCTTTTTTTACTCAGATTTTCCTTGTCATTTATGGAGCTGATTTTAAGTAATTTATGACTCTATGTATGGCCTATTTTCTTCTATTCTTCTATTTTATTTTGGCAATACGCAACTTGTTCTATCAAATAAAAAAGTCAAGTCACTTCTGCATCATCTACTCGATTAGATTATTTTTATAATACAGGCAATTTATGAGAAAAAGCACGCCGATCGAATACTTTTATTACCCTGCGTGAATTGGGAATGAAAGAACTCACGTTGATGATGCGCAACTCGAAGATGCATGACATCAGCTACATGTACGAAGTTATACAATGTTTTTTCAATAAGTTCTTGAGGCTCATAGCCCGTGAGAGCACCTACTCGCGAATCAAGGAAGATCATTTTCAGGTCAAGTTGCGCGCGAAACATGAACATATTCATATGCATCTTTATTTCGGTTGCCGATGAGGGTGGAAGAGAGTGTCCCACAGCGACCAAGCCAAGATTTTGAAAACAGCTTTCATAAGGTGCATTTTCTAGAGAATACTGTTTGAGCTTCAAGTAGCCACTAAAATGTAACACCTGAAAACAGAATGAATAATGACAATTCGTATTGCATGGCGTTTGAGTAATTCCCAAAAAAATAATGGTGCTTGTCGGAAGTCAGTTGAAGTATTCGGAATTGTTGCTGCTTAGGAAGCTTTCTGGTTGGTCAGGCAAGAATTTTTGGTCATAGCTACTGTGGTTCCTCAAAATGAACTGCCTATGGGACTCAGATTACTATTAATATTAGTAATTTTTAGTGTTTACGTAAAATGAGGCTTGAAGTTCAGAACTTCATAATCCCATTAATGACAGATTCGTTTGGGTCCTCTTATTCCCTTGTACTTCTACCGTATTTTTTTTTAAAATAAATATTCACTTTGTATCCGGCAGTAGTAAGTCCGGCGTTCCTTTTAGCAAGTACACATTTCATCCTTATGAAAAATGAACGCGCAATCTCAATTTCGCCTCGCGCACGTTGTTGTTGTAGTCCTTCAGGGAGCTGAGTTAATACAGCTTGCATTTCTTCATGGTCATTTGGATGAACGTAATCTAATAAGCTATTCCCTGTAAGCTCCACCTGGAAAAAAGAATATGAGTGGAAGTTAAACGGTGAACATATATGTGAATTATGCATCAAAAGTGTAACCGTTAGAATCGTTTTGTATAATACTTAAAATTAAGCCTAGAGTAAAAGGTCTTTTCAGTGAATTCCCAAAGTGTTTGCTTTGGTTGATGAAATTGATGACGATAACAAGTGAAAATTATAAAAACACATAGCCAAAAAGGCATTTACGTGCAATAAAGCTCAATACAGCGAGTGTCTAAATTATACTACCTGGGCGTTCGGCGCGACCGAAATTTCGCAACCTCACTAGTTGCTCCATTTCTAAGTAAGCCAATTTAAAGGAATTGATTTTCATACTTAAAATTACGCATTGCTAAAAATATTGATATGAACACAATGAACGATATATCAAACTAGGGTAATGTGGAATGTTTGTTTTGTCGTCATTATACCTGTGAGAGACCTAGCAGCACGCTGGCTGTCTCCGAGATGTACATGATCTTGGCATCCCTATCCAAAACGAAGACAAAACCTTCAAGCGTTTGAAGAAGATGCTGTCCGAGTTCCCTCATTCCGCCAGCAATATCAGCTCTTTCATTGCGACTGACCTCCGATCCCCATTGACTACCCAGACCTATAAAGTAGAAAATGAAGATAAAAAATTGCAACGGACAACGATGGGAGTCATAAAACATGCTAGAAGGCTGTGGCATAGATAACGCGTACTCTTCTTGAAGTAACCGCATTGATAGCACACATGTACATAATTTGTTCACAGCTCGTTTACGTTTCGATATTTCAGTCCATTTTTCTTTTTGTAAGAACAAAACCTATAAGTAATAGTGCATGGAATAAGACCTAGCTGGAAAATGTTGTATTATTTATGGTAAGGATAATGAAGCATGGTATGATTTAAGGATTGCATTAATCGAACCGTTCATATCTCTATTCATAATGAGTTTCTAACGAAACTACGTATCGTTTAAACAAAAATTGAAGACATCTTTATTGTCAAATTGCTTTCAATTCAACTGTAGTTAAGGGAAAATAGCTCTGAAGAACCAAATTGTCCTTCAGAAAACGAATTATTTCTAACTAAATTTTCAATTGACTAAAGACAATTACAAAATCGAAAAAAAAAACATTTTGCAAAGAAGTATTTTCAAAGACAGTATAGGAAGACACGGTTGTTAGATTTTGTTCACCTGGGAAATGGCTTTGAAATTTTATGGGAGTGTCCTTGCAATGTAATTTTAGGGCACAGTGTATTATTATGAGAGACTTAGCCTACACTGTATCTATCGCCCATAGATTTTTTTAAAAGTAAAAAGATTGCTTTAAAAGGTAATACAGCAGTTTTAGGACTAGAAGAAAACGGAATTGTTTCGGGCACAATTAAGGTTTTTTTTTTATAGAAAAAAAAACATTGATTGTGTTCCGCAACTAATGCTTGAGTACGAAATGTGAGAAATATAAACACTGACGTCAACTTTGGCATCCATAGTAAGTGACCTTATACAGAGTACGTGATCACTGTTACATTTACACTTATGTGGCCATAGCAATGATGGTTACCGCATGCCCTCTGCATCAATCACCAACATTTTTTCGTAATATTTTATGCTAGAAACTGTGTTTTTGAACAACAAATAATCAAAATTCCCTGTTGATAAGCAATAAATTAATTGATTTCTTGTCATTTTCGTTTAATCGAAATGAAGACCGTCCAGTTAAAAGCAAGAGTAATCACATCCTTTTTGTTCGGTACAAAACCACCCATAGGTTCCATATGTAGACACATTTTGAGTGAAGCCAATGAACGCGACATCAACCAAAAATCGAACAAGCTATTTTTTTCTTCAAAATTGACTATTTTTCAGAAATTCTGCCATAGTTACTGCAGAAATTTCTAAAAGGCTATTTTACTCGACTGATGCCGTAGGCTTTATTGTGGTATATTGGAATTTGACTTTAACTAGAAATATTTATCATTTTGATATCAAAACTATGACAGTCCTTGTGCAAGCCTAATTTTTTTGTAATACAATCACAATACGGTTGCAACTCTTTTAAATTTTCACAAAATGTAAAAATGTAACCTTTAGATTGTAATGATAAATTGCTGAGTGTCATTTAACTAACTCGTCACGTGTTGATTTCAATAAAACTTCAATAAAAAAGTATGTTTGTGGGTTGACACGAATTAATGAGCACAAGATTAACCAAAAACTATAAAACCATGTTCTTTTTTCGTTGTGGCAGTTCGTGCATAGCATACCGGTAAAACCTGCGATACATAGAAGGCCACTTCGTGATCTTGGTATTGGCCCCGTCACCAGGTCCAATCAGAATGGGTAGTGGCGCAAAAGGTACGTATCTCAGCCTTAAAATTTTATCGAAACCGACTCATGACAGTCAGCCAAACTTCACACACAAATCGTGGTTGATAGGAAGTGTCCCCACAATTTGTAAAAAGTATAAGAGTATTTTACGCACGATTTTGTGGCCACATAATGAAGCAGATACATGAACACGTATGAGGATGTCAAAAGGACATTTTGAGAAAACTAAGAGAAGAAAATTAAAAAAACTCACGTTGCGCTAATTTTTGTTTATTATTCTTACAATAGAATCGAACTATTCATCAAACGATGGCAAACTATGGGATATAATTGATAAGCTAACAGGAAAGTGTTGCTGCATACTTGCTTATAAGTTCGGTTTTTCATATTTATTTCAACAACTCTGGAATTTACAACTGGAAGTGTAAGAGTTATTTGTAATTTTGTAGGTGTAGTTTTTCTGTAAAATCAAGTACTGACCAAGAATCTATTATTTGACCATTCTTATTTTAAAACTCTTAAAAAAAAACTAGATATTTTTCACTAAGTTTTTGTAAAAATAGGAACTTGTAAATGCTCGTAAATTTTTTTGCGTATTAACGTTTATTGAAAGGACACCCAAAACTATTATTATTACATGGATTTTTGGCACGTTAATAATGATTAAGAACTAAATTTTTAAACAGACGTGTGTTTATCAAAAGAGAAACATTTGTATACTTACTTCTATCTTTTTTCAAACATGGAACGTAACTATTGTGAGAATTCAAAAACATATGTTGAGATATTTATGACTATGCACCCGGGAAAAACACAAAAAAATAAAATATGTTCAAAAGTATAATTCTTAGTAGAAAAGGTGTGGCAGCATTTTTTGTTTAAAGTGAAGATATCTGGCGGATAGGTCCAAGCTCATTCATTACCTAAAAGAAAGTGTGTCAAGATCTCGGAAACAGAAATAGTCAGGAAAATCTAATTGCAATTTTAAAAAATCTGGCCAATAACTGCGCCTTGATTTGTGAAATTATGCTTTTATACTTTTCCTCGTGGATCTAATCATCCTCGAGAATAACCCAGTAAGTAGTCACCCTTTATGTTAAGAATAAAAAAACGATAGTTATAGATGACGGAATATCCTAAATCGGATAGAAAGTGAATTAAAACATTAGGGTTAGCCAACAGAATGTTGAAATTGAGGTGTCTGAATGCAAATCCCAATTCATAATGAGAGCAGTTAAAAAGAATATGATATAAAATGTATTAGGCTCACTAAAGACATGCACCGGATCTTTTCTGTAACACTAATAGTTACGGGCTCATGCATATCTTAATGAAAATAAAGCTTTAAATTTAATTGGCAAAAATGGCCTATGAAGTTGCATCGCAAACATTTGATCCCGACACTATATATTGTAATAAACATAAGACAAGTAGTACAAGTGATTAGGTGGGGGATAGAAACTTCTAGCAGCCATACACATTGTTTTTGTTTCTATATTATATTTTACATCCCGGCTTAAGTATTCGAGCGGGCGGATCTGTCGACTTGTGGCAATTTTAAAGCTGGTATAAAATATCTAAGAGAACGTTGGACAGTAGTTTGATCACTTGGACTTAGGTTTTTATTCTTCAATTAGCTCACTAATAATTGCGCCCTCGTATGTAAAACACCACATTGAAGACATTTATTACACAAAGCAGATTCGTCTATTCATGCTAGATAATAAGTTCCTTAAATTGCACCAATTAGCCGCCCAAGTTTCAAGCCGCCCAATGACAAAGTACAATTTCACATATGATCCACTGCAAGGATTTTTTCTTGTATTTTGTAATATACATAAGAAAAAAATAACACATGTGTTCTGGGAAAATACTGCCTATTCTCACTATCATATGTTATGATATAGGACGGTTTATCGTAGAGCTAGAAATTCAGCGCATTAAACAAATATAAAATGTACTAGAAAGAGACACTTACAACAAGAATCTTTATCTCCTCATATTTAACTATTAGTATAAGCTGTGTGCACAACATGTATAGGTGCATGATAAACTACATAAAATTTAATTTGCACGCAAATATAATTTTGATGTTCAGTGACTTCCTAAAAAAATTTTTCACGATTTGTCATTGCATGGTAGTGCACGAATTTTGAAACGACTATTTATTACGTTGAGCAAAATGTTTTCATCGCAGACGATAGTTAGTGTTGGACTGGCTGATCGTATCTAGCCTAAACTTACCAGGATAATTGTTTTTACTGTCAAGCGTGTGTCCTGATGTTTTCGTTTGTTGTCGTTAGAGGTGGTGGTTTGGTGCAGTCTGTCATGAATGTCAAAGAAATGCACACCCGGCATTGTCTTCTTCATTACTTTCATAATGGGAGAAGTACCGCTAAGACAAAAATAATTGTTTACAAAATCGAAGACAAACGTACAGTAAGCATTACCACTTTCCCCTTTTGGTTCAATCGCTTCAGATCCGGAGATTTCAACTTAACGGCAAATCACACTTCGGGCGGTCACAGGAAACAAGTGACGGAAGGAGTGCAGGTACTTCTTAAACTCTGCGCGCAGCTAGAAGCGACCCAGATGACTGTCGCGAGTCGTTTGCATGCACTAAGGAAGATCGAAAAGGACATAAAGTAGACTCTTAAGAACACAGTGAAAATAGCAAAATAATGACCTTCTACAGCACCTCTAAATGCAAACAAGAATGGTTGAACCCCTTCACTTCGACATCACGAAGAAATATTCATGGTGAAAAGCTGCATCTACATAGAGTGGAATGAGAAGGGTGTGTTGTAGTATTAGCTATTCAAATTTCAGAAAAGTGCTACAAGAAACCGCTATGCAAGTCCATTCATGCGTCAAGAGAAACGAAATCAACAGAACAAAGCATTGACTGGCAAACAGCGATGCAAAATAAGACTGCCGCACAACGAAACTGCACCGCGTGCTACATTGATAACCCAGTAGGTGCTAACAAATCTTTACTGAGAAACTCTGCCGCACCCGGCGGACACCCCGGACATCGTTCTATCGTATAAATCTTTATGGTCAATACAGCATGGCCTAGAAGGCAAACACTTTAGAACAGAGGCCGAAGTCCGTAAACAAGTCGACACATGAGTCGCTTCCAAAAACGGCTTTTTTGCTTCGCAAGATACACCGGCTGCCAGAAAAATGGACGAAAGTTATAAGAAGCGGAAGACACTATTTTAAGTAAGATCCGTTCCACCATAAATTTAGGTACTTCAAAAAAAAAAGGCAATATTTTACTCAAGCTGAT